TAACGTGTTAAATATTCTCTAACCCCTAAAATATGCTTTTTTATGCAAAATAAATGTTCTACTGTGAATTCTGTGTTTCATGAATCGTAAAGATTTCTCACTCCCATTTAACTGCATAGACTATAGAAACAAATATGTAGAATCATAAAAATCCGACCTCTAATTATCTGTGTCTTAGTGTTTTATTTTACTTACATTTTACATTTTTGCTATTAGGTCAGTACTAATCTAAACATTTAAAATAAGCGAATAATTTAATAATAAGATTTGAAAATCGAGTTATTTATTTGTAAAAATGTAATGCTATGATTACAGATAATAATACTTGTACCTAGTTATTTATTGATGTAGGGCATATTATGTGTTATATTCATAGACCTATTAAGATTAACTAGTAATAGGTCTATGGTTATATTAAACAATATGTAACTAAAATTATATAAATTTTTTTATGTACTTGCAGAATATTTTGAATTATGGCTGACCAAGATGAAACAGTGTTGAAAAATGAAAAATCTAAAGAAAACGGTAAAATGAATGATAGTGTTCCAGAATTAGATGATACTGAACCACCAAAGGTTATAATTACTGCTCCTCCGACAATGGCTATAAAAATGATTAGTAATAAATTACAAAAGCCAAGTGAAGAATCTGATAACAAAGACTCAGATGATTGTCAGATTATCTTACCCAAGACTGAAATTATTGATATTACTGATGATATTTGCGATAAAAATGAAACTTTGGAAGAAACTAATGAAATTAGTGAAGTTGAAGTTAATTTTGATGATATTAAAGATACACCAACAATTAAAGCTCTAAAAGAGGAGCCCAAAGAACCTGAAACTGAAGTGATATCAGAAGATGAAATGCCAGTTGACAATATGCCTGTTGACACTGAAGCTGTATCTGAAGATGAATTGCCACCAACCACTTTAGCTGACCAAACTGAAATAGTATCTGATGAAGAGTTGCCTAGTGAAAATGGTGCAACAAAAACAAAAAGATGTCAAATTCCTGAGGAAAAAGAAGATGAAAATGAATCACAGCCTGTAAAAAAGATTAAAACTGAAGAAGTCAAACCAATTACTGAATTAGATAAGTTTTGGCAAGCAGTTAAAGACGACCCTTCAGATTTTGCTGGATGGACTTATCTGTTACAATATGTTGATCAAGAGAATAATGTTGAAAATGCAAGAGAAGCTTATAATAAATTTTTGGAATTATATCCATACTGTTACGGCTATTGGAGAAAATTTGCTGATTTTGAAAAAAGAAACAACAACAAAGAGGAGTGTGAAGAAGTCTTTCAACGTGGTTTGATTGCTATACCACTGAGTGTTGATTTATGGATTCATTACATGACATACCTTAAAACGCAGCATTCCGATGATGTGGATCGTATTCGTGGCAAATTTGAGAAAGGCTTAGAGACGTGTGGACTCGAGTATCGTTCAGATCGGTTATGGGATCATTACATTAAGTGGGAAATCGAACAGAATAAGTTAGTCAATGCTTTTAACATTTATAGTCGTCTTCTTGCTACACAAACTTTGGGATATTTGCAACATTTTGAAAAT